GATTATCATAAACAAATTACAGCAAAAATCTTGGGTATGTTTAAATATTTAAAACATGCTTCATAATCTAGCTCACTCCATTATTAGGCTAAAAGTACTCTCAGAACTGTCCGAAAATGGACTCTGGCTGCCTCCAGTGACTATGAAGCCACCTTCTGGTCACGTACTCTGACAGAATATCAGGGATGACCCTGTCACTAGCAGGTGGGGTTTGGAAAGTCCTCTGCTGACCCATCTTGGCTGAAGTACCTGAAGTACCTAAAGCATTTTATTAGCAAGCAATAACTTCCTAAATCTACTCCTATCCCTCCATGCTTCACCACCTCTCTTTGGCCTGGACCTTGCAGGTAATTTATACAAGAGAGGAAAGTGATTAATGATTTATAAATACCATTCCCTGCTCTCCTGAAGTCATACCTCAATGCTGCCCTTGGATAAAAAACCCTGTATCTTGATGTAGACCTGAAATCACACTGGTATTAGACTTGTCTGTTGTAGGGAGAGGGCCTACTCTTGGCCGCAGCCTTTACTTAGATTCCTCCTCTCCTTGATTGTACTCCCTCCACTCTCAGCACACTTCTGGCTGTATTTAATTATTATTATCAATATTTTATTTTCATTTAAAAAAAAAATGGGCTCAGGCATTTCTGTTACAGAATATTTCACTTAAGCCTAAAATATGCATTCTACTTTCTAGATAGATTCCCAGCTGCTGAAACTGCAAAAGCTTAGATGCTTAGTAGAAGCAATGGAATTTCTTCGCTTTTAAAAAATGACATATTTTGCCTATTTAGAATAGAAATGTTTTGAAGGTATTTAACCTTTTATAGTTTTTAACAAAATCAACAAAAGCAGTACAGGCAGTCCCCAGGTTACAAACCTCCACACCTACAACTCACAGTTAACGAACCAAACCCCTTAAAGCCTATTATATTAAAAATTCGAGATACATACAATAGTTCATAATAACAAACCGGTGCTACTTTGCTAACCTGCATCAAAACATTATTATTACTGTATTATTACGGTAAAGATGTTTTAATGTACCTGGAAGTGTTTCTTTAATGGTTTTTATGCGTAGAAAGGTACTCTATACACTACATGCTAAGACAAACATACGACTAACTGATGTAAGATACAAACTGTACCTAACTGCTCCAATTTACATAGAAATTCCACTGAAAGACAGATTTAACAGAACTTGTTTGTAATCCGGGGACTGCCTGCAATCTCATTCAAGTAAAAAGTTATTTCCTACCAGAAGGCCAGGGTAACAGTGCCATTTAATACAATCCAGCATTCTCATGTATGTATTGCCTATATATTGGCAGGTTCTTACCACACTCAGCTCCCTAGGGTCAGAAATTCTATCCCCTCCTCGAATCTCATTCTAAGAATAAGATCTGACCAGATTAGAAAGCTGTTCCAATTTTAATGCACTACAAGTCTTACTTCTTGCACTCCACTGCTTTGGGCCACCTTTCTGTCCTCTGGCTATGATTAAGGGAAGTATGCAACAGTAATAAATATCTCAGTGGCAGCATTATGTAAAAGCTACAAATATGATAATCTCCAAACTATTAAATTCTTATGTATACCTGTCTTAAGATCCCCAAAGACCCACTGCTCTTAGAATATTCCCGCACCTTACCCTGGCTTCTAAATCCTGGTTAATCTGGTTCTGCCTACTTTTCCAATGCCTCTCCTTCCTACCTCTCCCTGGCTCATTACACTACAACCCCTGGGCTCCTTCCCACACTATTCCCAGCCCTGCTAGGAAGTACTCTGCCCAGGCCTGACAGCTCATCCCTGCCCATTAGGTCTCAGTTCAAACGTCACTTCCTCAAGAGGCCTTCTCTGACCACCCTTCCTGAAAGTGGACCTCCCACTTTCATCAGTCCCATATTCTTTCTTTCAGGACATCTATTTTAATGTTCGAGGATTTTTTAATCTGCTCCCCTAATAGAATAAGCTCCATCGGAGTACAGACCTGCCTCTCTTACTTACCACTGTATCCTCAGCACCTAACATAGCCTTAGCACATGCTCTAACTAATACGTAAATTAACACACACACACACACACACACAATTCTATTAGGAGTCAAAGAACTAGAATCCTAGTCCCCATTTTTAATCACCTTATTTTTATGTCTGAGATGTTTCACCTCTTGGTGCATCAGTGTCCTATCTATGCAATTGGAGCTAATGAGATAATGAATATATAAAGTGCTCTGAAAAGTAAAAAGCATTATAAAAATACATACTATTATAACCAACCAGTTCAAGGTTTAATCACATCCAGATATCTTCTGGTCTCATATTGTTTACCTCCTTATGGTTGTAGATTTCACCATTGTAACAGAGCCACAAATAAGGGTATCTCTTCAGTCGAATTGGCTGCATTCCAAACAGCGGATCAACCACCGCCAACCGATGAAATCCAAAGCAGCAGTTGGTGTATCCGTTGACATTTTCAAAACGAAAGGCATCTGGACCCCTGTGTGCAATCTTCATAGCACTCAGACACTGAACAGAGAGGCATTCATCGCTGCCAAAGAGGGCCCAAATGCCGCACATGGTAGATTGGAGCCACAAGCTCTCTGTGGAGACAAAAGCAAACCAATCAAATATTCGATATCGATTCCAAGT